ATTTTACTGCTAATAATCTCAGAAAATACAAACCTTTTTAACATTTTAAGGATTTGTACTTGCTGTCACTTACCCGCAAAATTTACCATGTCAAATATTTTAAATGTTTTAGAGTATTAAAAATTAATTAAGCTTATTTTACACATCTTTTCATTTATATTTGTTTAGTGTAATTTAAGAGCTGTTATGGTTTCAAATCTCCCACTTATATATATTGAATAATTATTTACACATTCTAACTAAAGATCGCGCACTTGTATCAATGCGTCACGTTACGTCATCCTTATTTAGACACAAGTTTTAAGTTCAAACAGTAATACAGTTAGCTTTGCTTTGGTATATGTAAATAGACTATTTTCGTTTAAAGTAAACTCTTGGGTGAGAAAACTAGTTTGGTTAATTAATCCATCATTTTTAGTATCAGTTTGTTCAAGTTTGTCGAAGTGAGACGGAAGGTGAAATTAAAACATCCCTGATTTTTTCCAGAGGCTACATAAGAACGCCGACTTTGAGTTTAGGTTTCATTTCGGTTTTATGTATTTCAAAATGTTAGGTTTTCTAATTTTAATTTAAAAAAAATGGACCCATTAAATTACAAATACGTAAGGTTTAAACACCCCCCCCCCCCACCCACACACACAGCACTTATCACATTAAAGTTTCTAAAATAACTCGGAATGCTTTTGTTATCATTCTTTAACAACAACAACAAAAAAAAAACGCAGTGAAAAAAGAATTATCCCATGAAAGATGATAGAAATGGACATGACGTTGTTAAATTTGTACCGTAAGACTAAACACGATAAAAGTTTACCTGGTTAGTATTAATTGCAACAGTTAATTTTAAGATGATGCATAATGCTGAAGAAGCGCCCGCCACACTGTTGCTCTAGCGCAGTGATTCTGAACGTGGGGCGCATGCCCCACTGGGGGGATTTTTTAATATATTGGGGGGGGGCAAATTTGAAAATGCTACTACAAGAAAAAATTTTCATCTGGGTGTGAAGAGCGAAAAACGTTCCGTGACTCAAAACTAAATTTCTAAATTTTACATTATATTATTATACCTTTTCAACACCAAATTTGTTTTTATATTAAGGGGGCATCAAATTTTTTGAGGTGTCGAGATGGGGAGTGGAGCAAAAAAGGTTAAGAACTACTGCTCTAGCGTTAACTTAAATACAAGTTTCAGTGACAAAGTTAATAAAAGTGTCTATGCGTGATAGTTTATTGATGGATTCAACGCACTTGTACAGAGCATGTGACTACTGCTCTAGCGTTAACTTAAATACAAATTTCAGTGACAAAGTTAATAAAAGTGTCTATGCATGATAGTTTATTGATGGATTCAACGCACTAGTACAGAGCATGTGTATGGGAAGTATTCTGTTTTCTTCATGCCATGAGTGAACTGCTCTTGTTACATGTCGTTACAGTCATCGGTCATAACTATATCTGTTAGTGTCTTCTACCAGTATCCATCTGTCTGATTGTATCGTGACTCACACCCGTGGTATTTCTTTGGTAAATACGAAACTTCCACGTGGCCAATTTGACGTAAAGGGCTACTGGTGTATTCAGTTACCCTCCGTGATATCAGTCGAGCAAGTTGGCTGGTGCTTTCTCATGGTAGGGCAGTGTCCTTCAATTCGCTGATTAATGGACTAGAATACTGATGTGGTTATCAAGTAGAACACTAGATTCTAGTTCTAATCCTATAAAAGGTTTTCACTCGTATAAGTAGGTTTCAGAATTGATCATGTTCTTGACCCATTTTTCCTGTATTTTGTTTATTGTATGAAGGTTTTTATGAAACCAACTAAAAGTAGATTCTCAAGCAAAAAAAGGAAAACCAAGATCAAATATTTTACAGAATAGTTCAACACATCGCCAGCATGTCCGCTAGAACAGAAGGTCACGATGCATTTGACTTACGGAGTCAGTCTGTAAACACGGAGAGCTAAAACTATTAAGATAGAAAGCATAGGCGCCTTGCATCCACAAAAAAAGTGCACGTATTATGATGTAAACTTAACATCGTAGTTATACTCAATAATTTTAGTAATTTTTATTAAAACTGTAAATTTGTGTTTGTGTTTAAGCACACATAACACACATTCCTTTAGACCGCTGACTTACACCGTAAAAGCTGATCCCCTAAATACATGTTTTGCGCCCCTTCAGAACATATTTGTGTGGGCGCCCATTATAGAAAGTTAAAAACAACAACAGTATTTCTCCACTTTAGGACCACTTACATAGATTCAAACTTCTTTTAACCAAAACCATGTTATTTTTTCCAGAAGTGTTATAGACTAGGAACTACTGCCTTTCAAAATTAATCAAAACAAAATTGCATATAAATGTCACATGTTGCGAAAAGGAAACATTCACACAGTTTGATAGCAACGGTCTTGGTATAAACATGAACTAGAGTGTGAAAGATACGCATTCATCCTGAGTAGAATGTGCATTTATACGGAACAACTGTAGCACTTCTAAAACCGGCAGTCGTGTTTTAATATACAAGGAAGGAGGACCTTTTAATTGCTGGGGGAAGTTATAATAATACTAATAAAACATCAAAAAGTGATAGCGGGAAAAGACACGAGAGCATACTTCGTTGCTTTTCCTAATTAGTCTTCTACAGTCTTTTACTAGTACCTTCGTCTAACTGATAGTCGATTGTGATTAGAAAAAAAACAAAGCAAAAGTACTTTAAGTTCCTGATACAGTCTGTGACCATGCGTGATATTAGACCTAATGCATCCTCCAAAAGTTACCATGTTGTAATAAGCAGACCTTTGTTAATGTGTATTATTGTACTTTAAGTAATCATGCAGATAATTGTTTGGGCAAACCATGATTCCTGAAGTGAACCTTATATCTGCCAGTTGAGATAAAGAAGCATGGATCATAGAAACTCCAAGAAAAAGCCTTCCCACCATCACTTATATTCTGTTAGTCAACCATGATAGTCTATTTATAGCTGGTTTATGGATACTAACAGAGGAGTCAGTTACAGCACCCCCACTTTTACCTATTTAACTCATATAGCAACTGTAAATTATATTATTTTATTAATTTTCTGGGGAGCATACCTCCCTAGATTGAGCTGCTTTTAGCAGTCTCTTATAATTTCAATCACTCTTTGTAAAATCTACATGTCTAGCCAAGTACCCCCACTTTGTAACTCTTTCCTACACCACTGGATACTAAGATCAACTCATAAAACAATGTTTTATTTGATTGATCATCATTAGAAATATAAACAACTAACAAGGTTAATATATATATATACGAAAAGCTAAGTTCCAGAACAGGTTAATTGGCTCAGCTATACTAAACTAACCCTTGCAACTGATTCTGTTTCAGCACTGCCTCCCAGTATGTTTTTTAGCCAGTTTCATGGCCTGAACTGTTCTTTCTTCTTCTGTTTCTCCATGTTTCCACTTTATGGTGTGATGACCTCTATTTCTTTGACTCCTTCTGTATATATTTTAGATGATTAATATTAACTTCTGATCAAAGCAAGGTGCCTACATACATCAGAACTAAACATATATACCTAGTAATGATAATAGATAAATAAATATGATATTCAAACTATATTATAAATCAAGATATTTAATGCTGCAGTTATTATTTTTTCATAACATTTAAAGGTTCAGGACATTATCTTTTTCTCAGTAATATTACTGTTCTATTGAATAGTTTGAATTTACCAGTTGCTTGTTTCCTTTGTTATAATTATCATTCAAACATTTTCAGAGTAACTCTGATGTAATACAGCAAATAACTTTTAAATGTGTACATTGTAATCTTGTATTGTGATGTCGCAATGTTCTTTAGTTACTTCATCAATGTAGCAGTTAGTCTTTCATTCTTATGTTGTTGTGCACACATTTTCCAAAACGTTGATTTTAGCATGTGGATAAAGAAGGAAGAAGGCAAGGTTTACAGTACATTTCTGTAAGCAAAAGCTCTTTTATGTTGTTCTTTTTTTTTTTTCCATTTGCTCTATCAGTTGTTTCCTAACATGCATGGAGAACTTCTGTTTATTTTGGCTGAGGTCACCAGGCAAAAACAAGACTGCTGCACACTCTTCAGCCTTCTTGATAGCTCTCAACTATTCTTATAAAGTTAAATCATAATATAGCAGGTCACGTTAGCTCTAATAACATTCTATTTGACAAAAAAATAAACTTTTATATCTGTTAACTTGTCACACATTTTTCAACCACTTAGCTCATTTCTAGTTTATTTGATGGTTGCCTGTCTCATGGCAATGCCATGATGGCATTGCAGAGAAGACCAGGGATTCCACACTAGTCTGTTGTTGTTGTTTTCCTTCTGCCAATATGTTATTATGAATGAACTGACATTATCTCATGCTAAATAAATAAAATCTTAGAGATATCATCTCTGATTGTTAAAGTTTATATTTTTGTATGGAAGGTGGGGTATGGTAGCTAAAAACTTGCAATAAAAAAGCATGTTTTTAAAATTATTTCTAATGTTAGTGGAATTACCTAAGATTCTTCCTGACAATTTTCACTTAAAACAAATTACAGAATATTACATTATTTAATTTCTTCTTTGTATCAGTATGAAGGACTATGCATTTTACCAGAAGATTATAAATTTATGTTATGTCTAATAATAACTAACTAAACATAAATGCAATATAATTAATTTAAAGAAATGAGACTTTCTGACCTGATTTAGCTCATAGTTTTGGTGCCATTATTGTTGTACTTTATATCATTCAGGCTTGCATGTGTACAGTTAGCTATGGTTATTTTGTAGGAGATTTTATTGCAACACATATAGTTGTAGTAAAAGTCTTTCTAGAATAGATCAAGAATGAAAATCTTTCCATTGTTTTCTAAATCTAACTAGATTTATCCATATTTACCAAGCAGTAGTTTGTGATAAGTTACTGTCTTTAGTTTTAGAACTCTTAAAGTAATTCATATGCTATTCGATTCAAATCGCAGGAAAAGCTAGAAAAAATGCAGAAGGAGAACCAACGTCATATTGGTGACCTTCAGCATGAGTTATCAGTGATCAAGGCTGAGAGAGAAGACCTTACAAAATATATTCGTGAACTGGAACAAGCCAATGATGACCTTGAACGTACAAAAAGGTAAAGATTCTGTAGAAGCAGGATCCAAACATGGATTTCTAATTCTTAACTCTGAGATTTTGAAATCTTGTGACAGCATGAGATGAGTATGGTATGTTTATTTTTTCAAATATATCGTCTTTCAGATTTGAAGGTCATACTTGGAAATACTATCTTGCAAGTGAATCTTTGACTAGAAACTAAATCTAATGAAACTTAGCTGTATTATTTATGATCGAAGAAAGCTGTGAAAGCATTGAGAGAATTTTTAAGAAGGTATCAAAATAATCAAATAAACAATGTATTATAGTGTAAGTTGATATTCATTTTCTACTGGTTTAGAATTTTAAAGTAAATATTAAAAGAACAAGAAATTGATAACATTAAAATTTAAGCATTAACTGACAGAACAATTAAACAAGGGTGTATCTGTTTTAACATGTGCTAATGAATTTCTCTACATTTCAGGTCAACACTATGCTCCCTTGAAGACTTTGAATCAAAGCTAAATCATGTCAGTACATTTTGTTTCTCTTCACTAATTTATAGAAACATTCCTTTTCAATTTTTTTTTTATGCTAGTTGTTGAATTGGGAGGGGGAATGGAATTCCCATTATTAACAGAAACATCAAATTTATCCCCTTGTTTAAAAAAATCATGTATATGGGGAAATGTTTCAAATGACACTTCATTGGTTGATTTAGCCTCAATATTATTGTCAACCATTAGTAAAGTTGTTTTTTTAGTTTGCTTTAATATTTATTTTATGCAAATTATTGTTAAGTCTTAATTTTGATCTAATTAGTGACTGAGCACTGAGGTAATCAAGTTTACTGTATATTCATATATATATATATATATATATATATATATATATATATTATATATAGACGTACCGAAGTATAGTAGTATACTTACTTCCTTATTATTATTGTTAGATTTAGTTTATTATACTATTGGTTAGGATTA